CTCGATCCCAGGACCCTGGGATCATGACCTGAGCCAAAGGCAGAAGCTTAACTGACTGAGCCACCCAGGCGCCCCTATACATACCCATTTTGCTAGTAGCTATATAGTTCTATGATACACTTCTACCAGTAGTGAATCTTTTCCTCAAATACCTATCATCTCTTAATAGTATGGAACTTACAATTCATAACCTGATGGATATAAAGTGATCTAATTATGGGTTCAATTTGCATTTCCTGGATTACAAGAGAATTTGAGTCTTCTCATATGCTTAACCATTCAGATTTCAACACCTCAATACATGTGACAATTACCCCCATCATAATCTGGGATTTGAATTATGGTCTACAAAGCAACTTCTGCAGTTAAAAAAAAAAAAAAAGTGCTGGGCAGTTCCTCAAAAGATAGTCATAGGTCAGAAAAACAGTATTCACTTCAATATACTTCTACTGAACAATACTAGGTATGGTGTATATTATCTCCCTAACAGTTCAAAATTTTTTCTCCTCTCTTCTCCTTTCCCACCGCAACGTCTTTAAAATCCTTTAAAAGGCTCAGCAATTCTCCTGGGAATTACTGCAGGTGCTCCCTACTGGGACCTCTCTCCAATACTTTTCCACACTACACAACTACCTAAGATACACATCTACTAAATTCAGCTTTCCGGGGGCATCTGGGTGGCTCAGTCAGTTAAGCGTCTGCCTTCCGCTCAGGTCCTAATCTCAGGGTCCTGGGACTGAGCCCCGAGTCGGGCTCCCTGCTCAGTGGGGAGACTGCTTCTCCCTCTGCACCCTCCACCCCTGCTCATGCTCTCTCTCTCTCTCTCAAATAAATAAATAAAAATATTTTTTAAAAAATAAATGCAGCTTCCCAAGCTTTCAGGACAAAATCTAAATCTCCTGCAGCAGCACAGAAGGCCCTGCAAGATGCACCACTCTATTCTTATGAAAGAGAGCTCATGAAATTCACCACCCACATGAAATCCCTTGTTCCAACCAGGCTCCAAGACCGTGGTCCAAAATCGTGGCTCTTTCCATGCCTTCACCATGCTGTTTTCCAGGTGAAACATTCTTCTCCATCACACTAGCTCCTCCCATCCCTCAAACTCCATTCAGGCGCTTCTCTGCAAAGTTCTACCTCTTCCCACAAATAAGGATTAGATGCTTCCAACAGGGTTAGATGCTGCCCCTGCGCAAACCTGTAACTGGAATGATTCTCTATACACTGTCTCTCCCCTTTACAAAAAACCCCAGCTCAGTAAGTAAGGCTCAATGAACATTTGTTAACGAATGGAACCCTACAGTAAAAAAGCTGAGCTCCTCCACTCTCTACGTACCACAGGGCAAGTCTCAAACTCTGGGCATTTATTTTCATCTATAAAACGAAGCCCATGATACAAAGTTCCTTCTTCCAGGCCCCAGATTCTACAATTCTTGGCATGGAATAACCCATGTACATATAACCTCCCCTCTAATAGTTAAGGGGCAGGGGGCCTAATCAAACTTTCACTTTCACGCTTTAAGTTAATCACCCTGTGAGTCCAACCGGCTCAAGCCTCTGAGAACTAGAGCATCCCTAACTTCTCAGAAGGGATCTTTTTACACGTTTGGGTATTTCTGCTGTTGTAGTCACCTGCTTTTCCCCTTGGCTACGGAGGACTGAGTGGAAATGGGTGCAATCCTACACATTACAAGCACCTAGAGCCTGAACTGCTCCTAGGTTGTGAAGGTCGGAACCAAGTGCCAGACCCTGCCCGGCACGCCCTGGCGGTGGGACCTTAGCCAATACCCTCTCCCCACGCCCGTCTCCCCCTGCGCGCGGAGGAAGCGCCTGGGCTTCCAGCCCGAGCTCGCGCCAATAGAAGAGAGCCCCCAGCAGCCCACGACCACCCCTCGGGAGGGCGGGCTGAGAGGTCGCAGCATTTCCCTTGGGATTCACCGTTTCCCGAAATGCTCTTTCGCAGGGTGAGAAGCGGATTACTCAGGGCCGCGGGAGCTGAAAACCCCGCCGGTGAGGCCCAGAGCCGCGGCACACAGGCAGCCCTGGCCCGGATTCCCGGCTGGGGCTCGCGGTTACCTGTGGCGGAAGACCGCGGCGGCGGCGCGAGGCGGCAGGACCGTGGGAACTCGTCGCGACGCGCAGCCTCAAACGCGCCTCCTCGTGATGTCCGCCCTGCAGTGATTGCGGAGCCTCCCCTGGCTCCAGGCCTTAATGGCCTAGGGAGCTGCGTTGATTGGTGGAACTTCGGGGCGGGCATCTGCAAAAGCCAATGGGAGAACGAGCAAGGCGGGGCCGGCGAGCCAGAGGGCCTACAAGTCCCAGCATGCAAGAGCCAGGGCTTCTGGGCCCACAGCCCGCGGACCCTGGGAGAAGCTTGAGCAATGAAATGCGGGTGAGGGGGCCCGGGGTACGTGGGGCTTGCCTGGAAACGCAGCAATTCCAGAAGTGTCCACCGAAGGATCAAAATCAGCGCGCGGGGCACTTTAACCCACTGGTTTCCGAACTTGTAGCACTTTGGAATCATCTAGGGAAACTTCAAAAATCCTGATGTCCCTGTGTCGCCCCAGACGTCGGTGAGTTCCTTGGTCTGCACGTGTTCTGGGTCTTGGAATCTTTAAGGATCCCCCGGTGATCGAATGTGCAGGTCCATTTAATCCTCGAGACAACCTTATGAGAAATACGCACTCTTATTGTGGTCCCTGCTTTACAGTTAGGACGACTGAGGGAGATTCAGCCGTGGAAAGTAAATTAATCTTCGGAAGACCGCATTAGCTCTGAAGTGGCGGGGCCAGAACCCACACCCAGGCAGTCTATCTAGTTCAGAATCCTGTCCTCTTCATCCCTATGCAATGCTATTTTTCAAATGTTTGGTATTATTACCTCACAGGGAAATGGGGAAACTTTATACGTATCTGTGCCGTGGGGTAGAGCACAGTAAATTGAACTGAGTGCAATTGATGTGAGAGAATTAAGTGCCATCCTACCCAAGCACATCAAGTGTAAGATGTAAGGGCTGCATTCACAGGTTGTCTCACTTGATCTTCTTTTATAATCTTTCTTTTTTTTTTACAGTAAGTCAAGTGAGAGCATACTGCCCTGAGCCTGCTCCCTATTTTTGTAAATAACGTCTGTGAGAACCCAGCCATGCCCACGGGTTTTGGTATTCTCTCTCGCTGTTTTTACCAACAAGCAGAGTTGAGTAGTTATACAAGAGACAAGATTTTGGCCCACAAAATCGAAAATATTTACTGTCTGACCATTTACAGAAAAAAGTTGCCAACCCTGAGTTAAGTTCTTCTCCACACTCTTAGCTGGGAAGTGACCATAGTCTCATTCAGACCCACCTCTGTCCAAGTCCATAGCGAAGTCTCATGACCAGTATACTTTCACAGTCTTCCTCAGTGGGGAGTGGTAGGAGTTCATTCAACCATTTATTCAAGAACACATTTAGTGGATGTCCCTTATGTGCCAAGTGCAGCTGATTATTGAGAGAAATTGGATTCTTTTTTTTTTTTTTTTAAGAGAGAGAAGAGAGCCAGCGTGCGGGGGCGGGGGGAGGCAGTGTTGGAGGGGCAGAGGGCAAGGGAGAGAGAGAATCTCAAGCAGGCTCCACGCTCAGTGCAGAGCCCCAAATGGGGCTTAGTCTCCCAACCCTGACATCATGACCTGAGCTGAAATCAAGAGTCGGACACTTAACCGACAGAGCCACCCAGGTGCCCTGAGAGAAATGGGATTCTGTTCTTTCCCTTGGGAATTCACTGTCTAATAAGAGAGGAACAGGGTGTCGTCCTTAACCACTCCCTCAATTCACCCAGAATAAATGGTGGCCTTTGGTTGGGTTTTCACAGGTGAAATGGAACAGAAGTGGTGGCCTGATGCCAGGCATGTTTAGGCAAATGAGGTCCAGGGATACCCCCTCAGACTCCCTCAGCAGCACGGTGAGCTGAGAGCTAAGAGTATGGGACAAGAGAAGGCGGCTGAAAATTGAGGACCGGTGGGTGGCTGGGTGTTGGCAGGGAGTTCCCGTGGTAATGGTCAGGAGAGCCTCAGAAGAGACTCCTATGAAGTCCCAGACCCCTGCCCCTTCTCCTTAGTTCAGAAGAGACTGCACTTGTAGGCCAGCCACAAGGAGGAGGCTGAGATGAGAGGGGCTTGGAGGGAGAAGTGGGTGCACATGGTGGGCTCTGCCATCAAGCTACCTGGATTCCGATCCCAGCTCCAGCACGTACAAGCTGTGGGACCTGAGCAAGTTACTTAATTTCTCAGTGCCTGGGTTTCCTCAACTGTAAAACAGAACAGCACCTACTTCTCTCGGTAAATTGAATGAAACACACTGCTTAGCATCTAGTAAGTGCCCCATGAATAGTAGCTACCTGCAGGGCTAAGAGCATGATGAGAAAAGGAAGATAGGAATCTCTGACCTTGGGCACTGCTGTGCTCTGAAACTACACACGGAATGGAATGGCAGCATGGTTTGGGAAGGGCAGCACCAGTGGGGGGACCAGGAGCCAAGGCACCAGAAAAAACCCCAGGGCGGCAGGAGGGTGGCAGGCTCCCTGTAAACATATAGGCATGAGGACAGCCCCCCCCCCTCAAATGTCCCCAGTGAAATTCTCACCAGGAAAGTCACAGTGTGGGGCTCAGAGGTTAGTGAGGCTCAAGCCAGATACAAATCTGTGATACCACAAGACTGTGGCAGATAACCCAGCCACCAGAGATAAGAGCCCTGAGGAGCCATTTCAGATTCCGTCTTTTTCTATCTAATGGCGAGAGACTAAGTGAGAGGTTCAGATCATAAAGCAATAAGCACTGGAGAGAGTAGGAAAAGAAATTGATTAAGTTTAGAGCAGGTTTCTGCACCTCAGGATGACTGACATTAGGAGGCTGGGTAGTTTTTTGTTGCGTGAAGGAGGTTGGGGGGCTGTCCTGCACCTCATAGGACATCTAGTGGCATCAGCGTCCCCGGGGGGCTACCCACCTGATGCCAGGAGCTCCCTTCCCTCAAGTTGTGACAATCAAAAATGTCCCCAGACATTGCCAAAAGCCTTCTGGGGGAAGGAGGGGCAAAATCTGCATGTACACCCCGCCCCCCCTTCCATGGTGAGAACCACTGGTTCTCAGGACTCAACATTCATTCATTCATTCATTCATTCATTCATTCATTCATTCTGTTTGATAATGATGGTCAAAGGCATGGACTCTCTCCAGACGTCCTGGATTTTGACTCCATCTCTGACACTTCCTGGCTGTGGGGTCCTGGACACTCTCTTCACTCATCTGTGTTTCATAGGGTTGTTGTAAAGTTCAAACGAATTGATATATAATGAACGAACTCAGAACAGATTCTGGTCAGGTGTCAGCTATTTCTCGAGTGCATGAGAAGTGCTAGGCACTAACCCGAGCCCTGAGGATCCCTGCAGTCAACTGTTCCCACCACAGACACACTGTCCTTTTGTATGAAAATATTTCAACTGCAATATGTAATATTCTTGATCTAAATAAAGGGGTAAACTGAGGCAAGCTCAAAAAGGAGGAGTTTATTTGGGAAGAGCAGAAGAATTGCAATTTGAGATAAGCAGACTGTTGCAAGCTATAGGCGAGCACATTGAGGGTTGGGGGTAGGTTGTATTTGTGGGCAGGGAATGTAAAGAGAGGAACGTTCAGCCAGAAGTCAATTAGACTCAAACACACACGGAGACCAGCTTTGAAAATGAAGGGGTCCAGGACAGGCCCCCAGATTGTGCCACTTTGGCATGTGGATTGTCTTGAGCTGAAAGCACTGTGGGCCCAAGAGAAACTTTTATCCCTCCCTTAACAATGCAGAAGAATCTAAATTAAGGGCCTTTCCCCAAATAAGAGTTATTAACAGAGATAAATTTCATCTGAGTGACCCAACTGCATGGTAGGGCAAACATCTAATAACCAAACATCGGCTCCTCTTCTTCTCACCCTGTGAAGTGCATTCCTTTCCTATGAAGTCCCAGACCCCTGCCCCTTCTCCTTAGTACAGGGTGACATATATACCTCATTTTACCTGTCTTTGCAGTGCCCATGTCTGTGTGGATTCCCCATACGTACATCATTAAATTTGATTTTCTCCTGTTAACCGGTCTCATGTCAATTTGATTCTTAGTCCAGCTAGAAAGATCTTTGAGGGGACCAGAATTCTTGCTCCCTGACATAGTAAAATACATATAACATAAAATTTGCCACTTAAACCGTGTTTACATGTACAGTTTAGTAGCATTAATCATGTTCACATTACTGTGCAACGAATCTACTTCTAAAACTTTTCATCATCTTAAAAATCATTCCTTCCTTCCTCGAATAAACTCCTACCTGGCTAACATCAGCTGACTCCCGCTTATTCCCATGACCTCACTTCCTGTCACAAGACTCACTCGCTCCAGCCCTCGTGGCCTTCTTGTCTGCCTATGCAAGTCCCTCTTCCTGGCACATCCTTCCTCTTCCAGTCACGCAGCTCCTGAGAGATGACATCCTGGCACGATAAAGATTGCTGTGGTCCTAAACTCGGGAGGGGAGGGGCACCATCTCTTCCTGGTTGTTTTTGAAGGATTTCCAAGCAATCAATAAGCATTTATTTATTAACAGGTAGGCAGTATTCTTAGAATGGCCCCCCAAGAACCCTCACACATGTATAATCTCCTCCTCCTGCAGGATGGGTGAAACGTCTGAATAGGATATATTAAAGTGGTAACAGCAGGCCCAAAATAGAGTATCAGATCTAGCGAGAGGCATGTGAGCCTTCTCCAGAGGTCTGGTGAGGACTCAGTAAATGCCAGGCAATGATAGAGGAGGAAGAGGTTCTAAGGTAATCAGAAACAGGTCTAAAGTCAAGGACTAGGGCGCCTGGGTGGCTCAGTTGGTTAAGCGGCTGCCTTCGCCTCGGAGTCGTGATCCCAGAGTCCTAGGAGGGAGCCTGCTTCTCCCTTTCCCTCTGCCCACCCCCCTTGTGCTCTCTCTCTCTCATTCTCCCTCTCTCTCAAATAAATAAAATCTTTAAAAAATAATAAAGTCAAGGACCTCAGAATCCCAATTTTTAAATGTCTTTTTCCCCTCTAGCATTAAAGCTTTCATGTTTTCTTAACCCTCACTCAAGACCTGTTAGCAGACTATTATTTTATCACTTAGTTCTCAATAAAGGATTAATTAATAACATCTATGCAGTAGGGCTATTACTATTCCCATTTTACAGATGAAAAAAATGAAGGCTCAGAGAAATTAAATAGGCGGCCCAAAGTTCGGAAGGGAAATAAGCCCAGAGAGCAGGGCTCAAGAATCAAGCTGAGCTGGGACTTTTCTCCCCCAAGTTTGCTGTCAAGGTTGTGTTTCATTACCTGGTGGGGTATGCTTTTCAGAAGGACCAAGGCAGAAATTCTGACTGGCCTTAATACAGTTGGTTCCTAAGTAGAAGACACTGAATTGTATAAATGAGCAGGGGTGTGTGTGTGTGTGTGTGTGTGTGTGTGTGTGTGTGTGTGTAATTACAAGGCTTATGGCAAAATCTGTGGCCCACCCAAAGGAAACCCACACTTTTTCAGATTCATTTCTG